GGATAGGGTGGAGTCAGCGAAGCCCTGGAGGTCCTGCTGTTCAAATATGCTCTTCCAACATCCAGTTTAGCCACATCCTGTGACTTACATCGTGTTCAGTGGAAGTTAACAACAACAAAGCTGCCAGCTTCTTGTGCAGCATCAGAACCATCTTTAGGCTGTATTCTCCAGGAGGAGGTGTTGCAGCAGAGCTCCAGAGACCCAGAGGCAGCTAATGCAGCGTAGCCCTCAGCTACCTGCAGACACTTCCAGCTCCCAGTWACATTACAGTAAATGAGCCAGCTTTCCTGTCAGCACTGACTCACTGCTTCAGTTTAACACAGATTATAGAAACCTTCTCAGATTACTGCCTCCACTCAGCTGTTTGTGTTGTCCAACAGACGCTCTTATTGATTCTGCAGCTGTAGATGGCACAGCAGCTCATAAATCTCAAATGTTCTGTCCTTTGAGAGGAAATAAAGTTTAACACAAATCAAAGAATTATAGAACAAAATAAATCAATACATAACCTGAATTACTTTCTCTGGCCAGTAAATTGTTTCTGTTCAGATGTTTTAACTTTACTGAGTTWTTAAATAAACAATCAGACGTTTTTTACAGCTAAAATCTACAGAACAACCCTGTTGGACCAGCAGGTACCTGGTTCTGATTGGTTCATCTTTAACTTGATTGAACATATTTCTGTCATTAACAACATATTTCTGACTGAATATATTATGAATAGGATGACTGAACATGAACTCATCACATGATCCCTGCTGTTAAAATTCACCTGGACCTGGACCTGGACCTGGACTTGAGTCACAGTGACCTGCTCTACATGTGAGAGAAGGAGGAGATAATCTGAGAAGTGCAACGACAGGAGCTGTGAGCCCACCCAGCTCAGTATGGAGGACTGAATCTGACATAGTTAGAAATAAAAGCATAAATATATAAATGGACCAATAAATAAATAAATGCACTTGAAAGAACAAATTAAATTAAAAAAGAGAACTTTACGTCCTGTTTAATTGACCTTCATATTTATTTTTCCAGCTTAGTTCCAATAAATTATATATTTTAGCACATAATTTACATTTTACTGTTTTAAAAATATATCTATTTTGTTTTTCATTTTACTTGTAGATGTATTTGTGTCTCTTAAATTCTTTTCATTATTATTTATCATTTTCCCACAAGTCTTTTTATTTCCGTGTGTTGCTTTTACATGTCTCTGTCTCCTGTATTTACAGGTACATGTTGTTTTGCATTTCTGCCTCATTATGTAAATAAGGTGGGCGGAGCTTCTTGGGTCAGCTCCTCTCCTATTGGTCGACAGACAGGAGAGCAGGATCCATGTGCCGATCTGCTGTGCATGCTTGTGCTGCCTCCTTTTAGTGTAAAGATTAAATTTAGCAGTGGTGGGCAGCACAAATCTAAAAATTAGTTCCACTTACCCTAAAGCACTAACTCAAATATTTAGGTCCCCTGATTCTAAAGCACTAATGCACTGAAAGTTTTAGCAAAATCTAATTCTAAAGCACTAAAATAACCCAGTCAACCCATGAACATTGTTCAACAGACAACATGAGTCACATGTTGTCATGTTGTTATCATTGACATTCCACAGCTGTATTTGTGTTCATATACAGGTGCTGGTCATAAAATTAGAATATCATGAAAAAGTAGATTTATTTCAGTAATTCCATTTAAAAAGTGAAACTTGTATATTWTATTCATACATTACATACAAACTCATATATTTCAAATGTTTATTTTGTTTAATTTTGGTGATTACAAATGACAACAAATGAAAATCTCAAATTCAGCACATCAGAAAATTAAAATATTACTGAAGACCAATAAAAACAAAGGATTTATAGAAATGTTGGCCAACTGAAAAGTATGAACATGAAAAGTATGAGCATGAAAAGTATGAGCATGTACAGCACTCAGTATTTAGTTGGGGCTCCTTTGGCCTGTATTACTGCAGCAATG